AATCATGATCTCGGAGGGTGCACAGAGCCATTTGACTTAATCACTAAATTCCAAAATTTAAGAATTTTTAAATTGTAAAAGAGCAGCCTAATTTGAGGGAAAACCTTAAAGGTAAAATTTATAAATCCAAAATTAATCTAAAACAAAAGGATGTAAGGGCGCCTGGCTGGCTCAGTCACTAGAACATGCGACTCTTGAGTCTGGAGTCATGAGTTCTAGCCCCACGTCTGGGGTAGAACCTCCTAAAATAAAGAAAGTAGAATGTTGTGTGAAACATTTGCTATTTTGAATTTACCAGGGGGTAGAATTTTATTACTACTGTTACATTATGTCAAAACAAATTCAACAAATGAATATCTGTTGCATTAACCCATCAGAAATAGAACCCAGAGCTGTATGGACTGTGGGGTAAACGACCCTTTTATGTTTTCAAGTGTAGAGGTTCCAAGTATACACTGTATCCACGTATTTTTTTTATTTCTTCTTTAACTTCCTGGCTGACCCATTCATTCTTTAGTAAGATGTTCTTTAACCTCCATGTATTTGTGGTCTCTCCAGTTTTTTTCTTGTGGTTTTCTTCAAGTTTCATAGTGCTGTGATTGGAGAGGTGCCTGGCTGTCTCAGTCGGTGTGCCTCTTGATCTCAGGGTCGTGAGTTTAAACCCCATGTTGGGTGTGGAGCCTACTTTAAAAAAAAAAAAGGGGGGGGAGACAAACAGCATTGTGATGGACAATACCCATGGTATGATCTCAATTTTTTTTTTTTTTTGAGAAAGAGAGGGAGAGAGAGAGCACAAGTGGGGGTTGAGGGGCAGAGGGAAAGGGAGAATCTTAAGCAGGCTCCACGCCCAGTGCAGGGCTTGATCTCAAAACCCTGAGATCAAGACCTGAGCTGAGATCAAAAGTCGGATGCTTAACCGACTGAGCCCGCCAGGCACCCCTGATTTCAATCTTTTCGTACTTGTTGAGGCATGATTTGTGACCTAGCATGTGATCTATTCTGGAGAAGGTCCCACGCACACTTGAAAAGAATGTGTATTCTGCTGCTTTAGGATGAAATGTTCTGAATATATCTGTTAAGTCCATCTGGTCCAGTGTCATTCAGAGCCATTGTTTCCTTGTTGATTTTCTGCTTTGAAGATCTGTCCATTGCTGTAAGTGGGGTATTAAAGTCCCCTACTATTACTGTATTTTTATGTATTACTGTATTTTTATCATTGAGTTCCTTTATGTTTGTTATGAATTGTTTTAAATATTTGGGTGCTCCCAAGTTGGGGGCATAAATATTGACAATTTTTAGATTTTCTTGCTGGATAGAACCCTTTATTATGATATAGTACCCTTCTTCACCTCTTGTTACAGTCTTTGGTTTAAAATCTAGTTTGTCTGATATAAGGATGGCTAATCCAGCTTTCTTTTGATGTCCATTAGCAATGATAAATGGTTCTCCATCCCCTCGCTTTCAATCTGCAGGTCTCTTTAGGTCTAAAATGAGTCTCTTGCAGGCAGCATATACATGGGTCTTATTTTTTTATCCATCCTGACACCCTATGTCCTTTGGAGAATTTAGCCCATTTACATTCAGAGTAATTATTGATAGATATGAATTTAGTACCACTGTATTACTTGTTAAGTCTGTTTCTGGAGATTTTCTGCTCCTTTCTAGTCTTCGTTGCTTTTGGTCTTTTCCACTCAGAGTCCCCTTTAATATTTCTTGCAGGGCTGGTTCAGTGGTCACGAACTCCTTTAGTATTTCTTTGTCTGGGAAATTCCTTCTCCCTCCTATTCTGAATGACAGCCTTGCTGGATAGAGTGTTCCTGGCTGTCTATTTTTCCCAATCAGTAGGTTGAACATATCAATGCCACTCCCTTCTGGCCTACCAAGTTTTTGTGGTGAGATCTGCTGCTAATTTGGTATGTCTCCCCTTGGAAGTTAGAGGCATCTTTTCTCTTGCTGCTTTTAGAACTTTTTCTTGTATCTTGCAAATTTAACTACAATATGCCTTTGCATTGGCCCACTTTTATTGATTCTGATGGGAGTTCTCTGTGCCTCCTGGATTTGGATGTGTTTCCTTCCCCAGATTAGAAAAGTTTTCGGCTATAATTTCTTCAAACGTCTGCCCCCTTTGCCCTCTCTTCTTCTTCTGAGACTCCTATGATAGGAATGTTATCATGCTTTATGGAGTCACAAGTTCCCTAAGTCTACATTCATGATCTAAAATTTTTCTTTTCCTGTTATTTTCAGCTTCATTATTTTCCATAATTTTATCTTCTATGTCACTTATTCGTTCCTGTTTCTTCCGTCCTTGTCATTATATCCAGTCAATTTCAAGTCTCAGTTATTGAATTTTTCATTGTGGCCTGAACAGTTTTTAGGTCTTTTATCTCTGTAGTAAAGGACTCCCTGGTGTCTTCTATGCTTTTCTCAAGCCCAGCTAGTATCCTTATGATTGTTGCTTTAAATTCTGGCTCAGGCATAGTACTTCTGTTTCAATTAGATCCATGGCCGTGACCTTTTCTTGTTCTTTCTTTTGGAATCAATTCCTCCATCTTGGCATTCTGTCTAAGTCTCTGTCTTCAGTGTGTTAGGAAGGCCTGTTATGTTTCTTCTTCCCGAGAGTAATGGTTTTATTAAGAGGTCATATACCATCCAGGGCCTGGCACTTCAGGCAGTGTCCTGGTGTATGCTGCGTGCACTGTGCTTTCCCTCAGGTTAGTCCTCTGCAGAGTACCTCCTTGCCTGCAGTGGGCAGTGTGTGGCAAGTTTTAACTAGGTGTGCTCTGGTCTGCTTGTTAAAAGAGACCTGATGCTGTTTCCACTGGAGCTGAAGCTCTGCAGCACTCTGTGGTCAGTAGACATGGTGTATGTGGTTGGGGGCGGGTTGTGCTGGTCTTCTGGGGAAGGGGTCCACTATCCGGTTCTCAGGCACACTTGTGGTCCAACTTCTCTATAAAAGTACTTGTCCTAAATTGATCCATGATTTTCTCTCTGCTAGGCCCAGTCACAAGTCCACAACACAGAGACTTCTGAACAGGTATATCCAGGGTGCAGCCATCCATCTCCAAAGCTCTGTCGCTTCTGCTCTAGCTGATGCCTTCCACCTCAGACCGGTAACAAGACAGTTTGCAGCCACGTCAACACCATGCCTCCAAGCACGCCCAATAGTTGCTTCTTTATAGCAACCCCAGGTACACAGTGTCCTGTGACCAGTATTTCCACAAAAGGTTAACATTATAACGATGTTAAGTTAGTGCTATCCTTAGAAACTTAAAAATTAAACTTAAAGACTCTAGAACTTTGAATCCTTGAAGCTGCTAACTTCGTTAGTGATCCTGTTTAACCTCTCACATTCCACGGATAATCAGTTTATTAATTCTTAGTCTATTTCTTAATTCATTCAACCAATACTAAATGCTTATCATATGGTAAAATGCTTGATGCACAAAAATGAAATGCTGAAACCATAGCTTCCTCATAAGTGCTCCTCTGTGTTCATCTCCCCATCTCTCCTCTTTATTCAATTGTTTCTTAGGATTAGGATAATAATTATAATTCATTTCTTGGTCCTGCAAGTTAATTAGACTTAGCTTCTACATAACTAAAGGAATTGACCCCTTTAGTTCCACCAGAATTAGAGCAGTGTTCGCAAACTGTTCCTTTTTCAAGAGGAAAAAGAACTTCTCAAAACTCTAAATGTCTGAGAAACAGCAAGTCGAACAATAATCGCAGGTTCCATCCAGAGTACTAGAAAAAGCACGAACTTCGAATTAAAATGGCTCTAAGTCCAGGTTCTACCACTTACTAGTACATGTAATGTTGTACTTTCCTACTCTGTCTTCGTGTCACACCCAAGCTTCTAGAAAATGTGAATACCTCTCTCTCCAACTCTTAGCTTATCATGGTGCCTGGCACAAAAGAGTTAAAAAAGTGTTCAGTGAATGAAAGAGAAAGTTTTTCAAATTCACAAGTTAGCCTTTGAATCCACAGGGCAAAATTGGCTTCAAGACCTTTCAAATCACAATTTACAGTTATGAATTTTAACATTTTAAGCACACTGAAAAGAACTTCTGAAAAATTATACTATTGGAAAGAACATCTCATATAGACATGTATGTTCACAAATATACATTAAGCAGCTCTGCTCAGTTTTATACAAAATTAAGTAGAGTTCCAGCCTTTATGACATGCCAACATCAGCAACCTCTGAAAGTTTCAATTTCTTCTCAAGGTCTAGGTAGGCAGAGCAGGACACTGTGCTGGTTGCCAATGAAATAAAAATATTGTTCATCTTCTTGATAAAGCACAGATGGATTATGTCACTCCCTTCTCAAAACCCTCCAATGATTCCCTACCTCATATAAAAACCAACATCCTCAGCCGCAGGCAATGAATGGCAGCTCCAGACTATCTCTAGTCTGTCTCCCAAAACCATCATCAGTTTGTTACTGCCCAGCACTTAAAATTCTTTTATGCTGTTCCCCCTTTCATCTCTATCTGCCAAAACCCCATCCATCAAAGACTAAATTCCCAGTGTGGCCTGGGTAGACCAATCTTTTCCCACTTAATCTTATCTCTGAGCTCACTCCTTTCCACCTTTAGGTTAGCAATCATAAATATTATTTTTGAAACTTGTTACTTGGGTTTGCCTGTCTTCCCCCCTTTAGTATTAATTCCTAAAAAGCAAAAATCATGTCTTGTTCCTGTGAATTCCAGAGTCACAATGCCTTGCAACTAAAAGATCCAAAACATGGTAAATTAGGACAGCAAAGATACTACTAACAGGGAACAGAAATAGACATGTTAAACAATAAAATCAATTTTTAAAAACTCAATATTCTTAAAAGTCAACAAGAAGACAAACAACCCAATTAAAAAATGGTCAAAGACCTTAGCAAACACTAAGAGGATACACAGATAGCAAATAAGCACGTGAGAAGAAGCTCCATTTCATATGTCATCAGAGAAATGCATTATCAAAGCAATGAGACACCACTGCACACCTTTTAGAACGGCCCAAATCCGGAACACTGACACCACCAAATGCTGGTGAGGATGTGGAGCAACGGGAACCCTCCTTCACTGCTGATGGGAATCCAAAATGGTACAGCCACTCTGGAAGATAGTTGGCAGTTTCTTTCAGAACTAAACATATTCTTACCATACAATCCAGCAATCACACTCTTTGGTGTTTACCCAAAGGAGCTGAAAATATGTCCACACAAAAAACGGCACATAGATCTTATCACAGCTTTTCCTCATAACTATTAAAATCTGTGAACAACTAACATGTCCTTCTGTAAGTGAGTGGCTAAATAAATGGTAGAGCGTCTGGGCAATGTAATACTTACTCAACTCTAAAAAGAAATGAGCGAGGGGCCCCTGGCTGGCTCAGACAGTAGAGCATGTGTCTTGATCTCAGGGTCCTGACATTGGGCATAGAGATTACTTAAAACAAACAAACAGAAACTTTAAAGAAATGAACTATTAAGCCATGAAAGAACATGGAGGAATTAGAATTATAACTAAGTGAAAAAAGCCAATTTGAAAAGGTTACATACTGCATGATTCCAACTACATGACAATTCTGGAAAAAGCAAAACTATGGAGACAGTAAGATCAGTGGTTGCCAGGGGTTAGCAGTAAGCAAGGGATGATTAGGCAGAGCACAGAGGATTTCTAGGGCAGTGAAAGTACTCTGATAAGACTATAATGGTAGATATGTATCATTATACATCTGTCCAAACCCACAGAATACACATCACCAAGACTGAACCCTAATGTAAACTATGGACTTTGGTGATAATGATGTGTCCATGTAGGTTCAACATTTGTAACAAATATTCTTCTCTAGTGGGGAATGTTGATAATGGGGGGAAGCTATGCATGAGTGGGAGCGTAGAAAGTGTATACTAGAGCTCTCTGTACCCACCACTCAACTGCCGTGAGCCTAAAATGGCTCTAAAAAATAAAGTCTATTAAAAAGAAAAATCTCAATATTGGCCAGTTTTGGGTCCAACTTATTTTTAAATATATATTGTCTCAGTACTAAGATGCAAAACAAAATTCACAAAACTACTAGGAAAGATTTTGTAACACAGAATACCACGAATCAGTTCTGTGGGAAATTACACACATCCTCGAAAGCAGCTGAATTCCACCACAGTAAATAAAACCTCACCTAGTTGTTCAATAACTATATTGTAACAACATTGAACAAACATTTCTACAGAATATTTTATACGCATTTTTACTTTTTTTGTGACTCTTAAAAAGACTAAGAATTATGATGCACATGTAAGCTGTCAGGGGACTCGGAAACTTCCAGCCTTTTAGTAGCTGCTCTTTCAAACTTAATTCAAACATTTATTAATCTCCAAGTACTTTTAAAACATTGTGCTGGGCAGGGAATGCAAGGGCACGAAGATGACCCACTTTCTGATCTCAAAGAGTTTACCTTCTAGAAGGAGATACGTAATCAACCCTTAGAATATCAGACACAAATAAATGCTACAACAGTGGTATAAATAATGTGGGATAAAAGGAAATGGAAGAATGACTAGAAAACATGGCATTTAAGCTGAGGAGGATTTGAAATTTCATAACTTGAATAAAGCAGGGATGGCGCTCCAGGCTGAAGGCCATGAGCAAAGGAACACCAAAGTACATCTTCAAGAAAAATGGACCCAGGCATGGGGAAGATTCTGGATTAGGTAGGCAAAGCATAAATTTGTGAGTAGTTGAGTATGGACAGAAGAGACTTCTCGTGGAGACTGTTGACCTAACCCTAGGAGAATTAGACTTCGTTCTGAACAAAAATTAGGAGGTGCTGAAAATTTTCATGGTCAGCAGGAGAGAAAGGAACAATGTTCTATTTCCTCTTAAATCAAGATGTGTCCATCCCCAAATTGCTACAGAACAATCTTTTAAAATTTTATTTTAAAATAATTTTGGCTGTTTTGCGACCTGGTGACACTTTCATAGGTTACTGAAAAACAGAATAAAAAATTACAGTTATGAAGAGAATGCACACTTCCCATAGCGTTTAACGCACTTGGAGCATCCCTCCAGCATTAACTTGAACTGGGCTTGTCATTCCCTGGTCTCTGACCAAGTCGGTCAAAGCTCACGAAAGGTTCTTAAAATCTACTGACTCTTTAGGATATTTTGAGAATAAACTGAAGCTTAAAGTTTCCAAGAGGTCTATATTTTATCCTAAAGGGTCCAGGTTCTCCCAAATACTTCTCAAACGGCCAATTTGAAAAAAGGTAACAGCGAGCATGGACCTCTTTGGCGCTGAGAACAAACTAACCCCCCCCACAGCCCAGCACTCAACTAGTAACAAAAGTGATCGCCCTCAAATTCCGGGAGGGACCGGGAAGGCGAATTAACAGCCACCCCAAGACGTGCTGACCAATTCGTCGCACTCTCCAATCCCGAGCCCGACCCCTCCCGTGACGCGGACTCACCCGAGCCAGGCCCAGGAGCATGTGGAGCACACGCCGACGGAAGACCGGCTCCACGGCCCAGCAGGCTCGCCCGGCGCCAGGCCGGCCAAGGTCTCCACCGCCCCGGAGCACGGCGCCCAGGGCACGCCG